AAATTAAGGAGCAAGCAAGGATCACCTCTGTGGCAACTCAAGGAAAGCACTCTTTCCTCTCCACAGAAGCAGTGCCAGAGAAGGTTCTACGATCTGGAAAGTGGAGCTTGTGCAAGATATTAGCCAGATGACACCCTTTTTCTGGACATTCCTTGGGCAATGAGCAACCAATAAAATCTTTCCCAGTAGCCCTCTTTAAGTTCCATCAATTCTTATTCCTTAATATTCTTCAAACTTTTCTTTCTCTTTTTTTACTTGTTGATGGATTTTATGGAGCCTTTGCAGACATTCTGATACCTTCATGCAAACAGATAACAATCAATCATTATCTCTTCCATGATATCTCTGTATCTTTGTATTTTTATTTATTATGTGTGTATTTTATTTGACATATTTACACAACTGATTTCCTTATTAGACTATAATTCTTTATTTACTTTTTTTGGAAGCAGATGCTTTTTATTAATGGATCAAATCATAAAAACACCATCATACATGCCTTATGAAGAAACAAATTTATTTGGCTGATAATATTGGTGACGGAATGCCAAAAATTTGGCATCCTGCATCCAGTGAGGGCCACTTTTGCTTCATCACAGCATGTAAAGAAGTGGCAAGAAAACAAGCCATATGCAGAAGGGGCCAAATATAAGAAGTGGTTTTACTTTATAATAATCCTCTCTCTCAAGAACTAACTGGTCCTTTGAGAACTACATTAAGCCCCTCCCAAGATGGTGCCTGTAAGGCATAAAACACCTTCTACTATCACTAGATTGTGACACACTTTATTAAGTCATATGTTTTAATTTCCATTTGCAAAGCTAGTAATTAGTACTACTTATAAAAATATTTTGTATTGAATGAAAGAATGGATCCATGACTTCAAGAGCAGACAGATACATGTATATGAGTGAATAAACGAATCATTAAATAAAACATTAATAATTACATGAAATAGCTTATTTCTGTTGTCTTCTGTTAATAGCAGAAACTATAGGATTTTATTTTTAAATATTTTTAGAATCTTCTATTTTATAATCTTTCTGATTTCATTTTAATCATTTAAGGACCACTTCTAATAAGCCACAACAAAATAAGTAATGAGTATTAATACAGTAGGCTTTGTAAAAGAGACTTCCATAAATTCTCTCTTATAACATTGCTTGCAAAAAATAGTATAGTAACTTCTGTTATCACCTTTTATTTATCAATAAGTCACTTATTTCCCCCTGAGAAGACCATGCCCTTGCCCTATAAGTATGAAGTAATTGCCCAAGGTCACAAAATTTTTCACTATTTCCACTGGCTCTAAAATCTGCTCTTTAGTTCAGAGCCCAAACTTATAGCCACTATATGATACCTCTCCTTACTACTTCACTTTGGTGTATTTCCAGTGTCAAGTATTGAGGCCAGCAGCTGGTACTCAATAAGTAGTAATGCAGCAAATTAACTAATGTGATTTAAATGAAACTCTCTTCAGATAACTAGAGGAAATACTGAAATCCCAACATGGACATTTTAAAAAATTAAATTTATCAAAATAAAGGATATTGCAAAGAAATTTGAAACACTAGATTGCACTGAATGCATGCATTAATTTATGGTTTAAAGTATTTATTAAATCATTGAAAAATACTGAATAGCATTATAGTTTCCTTCAGCATACTAATGTGAAATTTGACAGTTACAAGCATCCATTCACAAATACAGTTTATACATTATAGAAATTATTCTTAATGAGACTGTAAGAAAAAATATTTATAATCTTAGCTTAACTTGTAATAATCTCATTAACTTTAAGTTCTCTATAAATTTAAGATCATTTCACTTAATATTCACTTTTTAATACATAACATTTGAGAATATAAATACGAACAAATCCCTGGGTTTCAAATGAGGAAAAAAGAAGATCAAGCTTCTATTTGAGAAAGATGACTCCAACAGCTGCATGAGGATGTTGGATTTAACAACAGGAAAGGTGGTCACATTCTTGAGAAGCAACAGGCCCCAGAGCCACCTAACAGGCAGTGTGGATAGAGGATTCCCACTTCTCTCTATTTTTTGTTTTATCATTTTATCACTGCTTATCACATTATATCTAATTCCCTAGTAAGACAGGACAAGTGATGATTATATTTGACACAGATTTTTACCTTCTTGCATTTCTACCCCATTTAAAATGCAATTCAACACTTGTTTGAGAAGTTGAAATCCTTCAGCCAAATCCCAAACTCATATTGGGCATAAATTTTTAAATTGCCTATTTCAAACACTGTCATTGCTAGTAATATGTATTTTTAAAGCATGCACATGATTTTCTTCATTTTACTAAAAGTCCACTTTCTTTTTTTTTTTTTTTTAATTTTTTTCATTAGAAAGTGGAAGCTAAATAAAATGATTCTTCATTTTATTTTCATACACTTCTCTCAAATTCAGGAAACTTAAGGTAATGAAGTCAAAAAGAAAAGTAGCACTAAGAATTCTTGAATATTTAACAGACAAAAAGTTCAAGATAATATGTAGTGCTGATTATTAGATACTGGGAAGAATCAGAAGGTGAAAAGGTAGCACAAGAATAAAAGGTACCAAAACACAGAAGTAGTAATTTTCGTATTGCACAGCATAGTAGTAGAAGGTAGAGTTCCCAATAGCTATTGTATATTTAATGGAGAACTAGAAGAGGAGGATTTAAGGTCCTAAACACTAAACACCAAGTAATGATAAGATCATACTAATGCTAAATTACCTGGATTTCATCAGTATATAGTTGTACAATGTGTTGATCTACCATGTTTTGCCCATAAATATGTAAAATGAATACTTAGAATTTTTAAAAAATAAATTACAGTACAAGACACATAACAATACTCCTCAACATACAATTCCTCACTTGAAAAATACTTCTGAAGCAGTTCTGGAAACCTTTCATGAAGATTTAGCTGCCCTATTTCGCCTGCCTTGGGGTCCTGCATTGATGTGAAAGGTTTACCTTGCATCGTCATTTTGATTTGGAGGAAGAGCCAGAAGTTGTATGATACCAGATCTAGTAAATAATAAGGGTGAAACCACTTGGTCATGTGTTTTAATGAGCCTGCCTTTCCATTGGATGCTACCGTGCCTCAGCATTCACAGTATTTTTAACCACATCTGGTAAAGATACTCACGAAAGAGGACCTCTAGATCTGCTTCTTGGATGTGGCAATACTGATGTGGTGAATATGTACAGAGAGAGAAGGGAATAGTCACAATATATATTATTCTCATAGCACATATTTGCAGTACATTATGATTACATTCAGTGTGAGGAGTCAGTGCATAACACATGTACATAACACATCTTTTTTGTGTTTTCTTCTTTATTGTTTTGAGACAGGATCTCACTTTGTAGTGTAAGCTGGCTTTGAACTTTCTATGTAGAACAGGCTGACTTCAACTCACAGTGATCTTCTTGCCTCAGCCTCACAAGTGCTGGGATTATAGGCATGTACCATCACATTAGTCTATACAACACATTTTAACTATTTTATCAACTTTCTCTTTCCTTTTCTTATCCCAACCCTCCAGATCTTTGGCTAAAAGAGAGAAAAAAACAGTCTGTCTTTGGCTAAAGGCTATTATTAATGTAATAATTTTTAAAAATTTAAATAGTCACCATACCGTTTGATGTTTTGTATAATTATTGCATTTTAATAAAATTTTATAATTTTTAAGGAAATGGACATACTAGCTCTCCTGTTTTGGTCTTTACAAACTCTATATATGTAATGACTTACCAGACTATACCCCATACATTGTACATGTAAGATAAAAATAATTTAATTATTTTTAAAAAGTACATTATATGGAGAAAACAGTTCTGTAGACTGATAATAGTGAAAAACTATATAAGGACAACATAATGTATATGTAATACTAAGGTATTATGTATTTATATAACAACACATAAATGGTTTAAATAGAAAAAACAAGGCACCCTCCCTAGTTCAGTTTTATCTTAAATGTTCTTAGCATCTCTGCCTAACTCCTCTGTCTTTCCTTTAAACTGCATTTTACACATTCACAGAGTTTTCTGACCTGTCCCAAGATCATCTTCTCTTATCCTGAATCACTTTCACTCCTCCAAGGAGCTAAGAGGCTTCTCAGTGTGATCTCTGGCCAACCAAAAAATTGTTAAGTTCACACAACAAATGGAAAAAAGCTAAATGGTCATTACAAAGAGAAGAACTCAAGAAAACATCAAAGACAAATTACATTTAGTTAACATGCGGTAAATAAACAGGAGGAACTAAAAGAAGGCAGGTAAGAAGATATTGCAAGCAGAATCTTTCTTAAATAGGAGAGAGTAAGAATTTGAAACAATAAGAACAGGAGAGCTAACTTTTCCGAAACATTCTATGTGTATGAGGAAGTAGCTATAGTAATTATATTAATGAGAAGAAAAAATGGAGCACCTAGTCTAAAAGAGTAAGATCTAATAGTTTTAGCTTTTTATACCAGAAATGAACACTCAGTACTAGCATATACCTTTTGCACTTCCCATAAAACTAAATAGATAAAAAATTACAACTAAATTATATAAATTGTCTTCTTTCCATTTTGGTTCACACAACTTGCGAACTGGATGGGACCTCATCTGGTGCTAATGGATGGACTAGATTCGTTTCTAGACTGCTAAAAATAATTATGGCTATAGATTCTACCTATAATCATAAATTATGTGTCATCTGATTTGATAAACATAGTATCTATATATTTAAGCCATTGAATATCATTTTGAACAAAGTAAGTTTGGTGATTTCATGGCATTCCACTAGGAGAGATACATAAAAAAAGTTTAATCAAATAATATTTCTATCACTCTTCATTTAAAAACTGTATCCAAGTTAATATATATGGACATACTTCATATATACTTTATACAATTTATAAAAATTTATATAAATGATTATCAAAAACAAATGCATTGGAAAAATGAACTGAAAGTGATTCTAAATGTGTACCTGAATATATTTGTGAATGTGCCAAGAAGCTTGTTTTCCATCATTCACTGATTCCACTGTAGTGTTAGCCAAGCCAACAATGTCGCCACCTGCAAACACCCATGGTTCACTGGTTTGCATAGTTTCTGGATCCACTTCTGGGAGATTCCACCTGTTAAATTTTATAGGACTCAAGGCTTCTTTTACTGGAAAAAAGTGAAGGATAACAGGCAATGACTAATCCATGCATCACATAACAATAATTTAAAAATTAAGAAAATTTATGATTTAATTCATTCTGGGATTTCAAGCAACCATGTTTCAATGAACCATAAACATAAAAAGTTAATGCAATACTGAAATGCACACATTCTAAGTTTACTCAAAATATAACTCACATGTAAAAATTGAAATCTGCAAATTTGGGTATTGCTTCAGACCTAGGTTTTGTATCTAAGAAGTACTGGATACACAAAGATAGAAAACACAACCCTTTAAATACATCCAAAATGCTTTTTATAAAATATTTATGCCTATATTTTTTCAGAAATGTTTATTACTGTGTATCCCAAGTATACACTGCAATATGGCTTGTAGTTGACGGTCAATCTCTTCCTTCCACAAGACATTTCATGATAAAAATAAAACAAAGTTTCCTACCTTTTTTTTTACCAACTCCCTGTCATTGCTGTAAAGTAATGTTTTGAACCCAGGAATATAGTCACCTTGAGTCAGTAACCTCCTTATATTTGTCTTGTAAATACTAAGAAATGTAAACCTAAATTAGCATTAGCTCATTGTATATTAGCTCCTTGTATTGTGTGGCATATTTTTACAATTTTTTGCTAAATAAGTGTGGTCCAATAAATCTTAATTATCTTGGAAGACAGAAAACGTTGTTTCTTTTGATTAAAATTTTCAGCAGAAACCTAATCTTAAAATTTGCAAGAGATTAAAGAATTTAAGAAAAGGATTTTTCCAAGAGAAGAAATAAAAGAAGACAGACAACCTAAGCTTATGCTAGGACTTGGAAAAATGTTCTCGCCATGTAACCATGTAGCAAATGTCAGATCAGATTAAAGGAACTTCTCTGTAATGAAAATCAAAAGACAAAATAACAACCTTTTCTTTTCTTTCTTTCTTTCTTAACACAGTCTCACTATGTAGTCCAGGCTGGCCTTGAACTCACAATGTAGCCTAGGTTGTCCTCGAACTTGTGATCTTCTTGTGTTTCCCAAGTGCTGAAATTTACAAGCATGTGCCACCATGCCTGGACCAACTAACAGCTTTAACTAAGAAAATGATAGGGTAGTTGCAAAATAGGATATCAGTTGTCAAACATGTTAATGAATCGATTATATAAGAAAATAATCAAACTTAAAACAGTCTGATACCTAAAATGAATTTTTTAATTGAGCATAATAGAAAAAAAGGCCATACAAATAAACCTTGACACATATTTGTAGCTTCCTACTCAAGGAATATGCAGAAAGCTAATGCTGAGAGTATGTTCCTACCCACCTTATCCCCAGACTATAGGTTTCATCAGAACAGGAATGTTCTGGACATCAGAACTGGAATGTTGCTGGACTTAATGGATGGCAGTATGAATGAGTGAGCAGATAATTCAATACTATCATACTCAGGTTTTTAAGCCTTCTGATATTTGTATCTCTTATATTATTTCACCTTTCATTGAGAAAAAAATTAAATATTCATGTAATTATTTTCAATGCAGAATGGCATTTTGAGATTTTTCTAATGTCTTTAAAGGTCACATGAAAAGAGACCTTTATCTTTGCTCCTCATTGCATAACAGATCATCACTACCATCTGTTGACAGATACTTGAGTTGCAAGTCAATAGTGAATATAGCTCATCAATTCAACCTATTATAATTGTGGCAAATATATCATCATGGAATAGTATCTGTAAGTTTTTAAATAAATATTGTCAGAATAAAAACCAATGCCCTTTTTATGAAAAACTACCTTATTTTTCCAACATTACAATAAAATTTGGCCACACAAAGACTTGAAATAACTATTGCTTTTAAATGGGAAAAAATTTCAAATTCAAAATTATTTCATTAAAAGATCAAAGCCCTTTTTATATTTATCTCATCTTTTTATAGGAATATGTTTAAAAGTTACATACAGATTTCAACTTTAAGCTTGGGTAAAATAGGAATTACATTTTGGTATCTTTGATTTTTCAAGGCATCTATTGGAGTTAAAGAAATACATACTGTGAACTTACTGAATCTTAAGTCACAGTCTCTCACTTATATAGGCCTCTTTCAGGGCTTTGCTCCCAATATTATATTGCAAGATTTTCTGTTTCCTTTTCTTAAAGAGGAGCACTCAAATTATTTAAATTATATAAGGTTCAAATTATTTAAAGTTCAACTTATTTCAGGTTCAAAGATCCAATATCTGGGTCTTTGCTTGATCACAATGGATTACACACAGCTGGTGCTTAGTGAATGTTTGGCAACTTATATTTAAACTGTTGAGAAGTGTGTCTTTCATGATACAAAATGTACATATTATGATTCTCTATAATATTCAAGATGTAATACAAACTCAGATCTGAAATGCAATTACTTTAATTACTGACACTCAGGTCTGAATATCAATTGTTTTAATCATTGTATCATTTGTGATATCCAGGTAACCTCATTAAAAATCAAATAAATGTTTGATTTTGCGTTTCAGAACACGAGCACTCATTCTTTATATTAAAAACGATCTCAGCCTCCTTTTGCAAATTATTTAGCAGACTTCCCTCTGCTCTTTTTGGATGCCTTCAAATTCAACACTGCCTTAATTTCATTTCAGAAATAAAAATAAAAAATTGTAAGTCTATCAGCTGTCTATGATATTACTAATATCAATCAGAAGAAAGATCAATGGTATAAATTTTGATGTTTAATATCTAGCTTGTCAATAACTATAAAATATCATTGAAAAAGGAAAACATGAAAAATATACAAATATAAGCAATATTATGGCAGGTAGGAAGTGTTTTCTTAGCACTAAGCAGCTACTCTAAAGGACTTTATCACAATTTGAAAATCAAATAATCATCGTCATTTCTCAGTATATTCAGACTCTACTGAAGCATATGTAACACACAGCATTCTTACCCTAACTGGAACTTTTTGAATATGCTTACGGGTCAAAACAATACATTTAAAAAGAAAAAAAAAAACAGTAACCATTTAAAGGAAGCCACTATTTTTACTGTGTGTGTGTGTGTGTGTGTGTGTGTGTGTGTGTGTGTGTGTGTGTATATATATATATATATATATATATATATATATATACTTTAACTCTGTAACATACAACTGAAATCAAACATTCTCTGAAGAATCTTGTAAGCATTTTAATAACTGTCAATGAGGAGTTCATTCATTTAGCTGCTTCTTACAGGGAAGGCTGTTAGCCTCCGGATCCTTGTAGCCATTCTTCTATCTACTCCTGACAGCTCCCTTGCATCTCTGCTGATCTGCTTAACTTGCAATGCAATGAAAATAAACCTTACAAGTATATCTTCTGTCCTGTCTTCACCCAGCTTGGGAGGAGTCGAGGCATAAGTGAGTGAAAAACGTATATTTACATTTGCAGACCAAATAATTGCTTGCCATTTCCTATGAAGTGTTAAATGAATATTAGTAGTGGGACTGTATTTCTATTTCCTGTTTCTAAAATAAGGGAGGATTATTTTACAGTTTCTCAAAAACTTCCATTAGACCACACCTATATGGAAACTATAGCACACGTCCTACCAGCTCCACAAGTGAACAGGAAAGGAACTTGCAAAAGAACTCCTAAACAGGCTTATTCACAGTCTGTGTTATTCTGCAAATAGGAGAGGAATAAGCTAAATGATATGATGTCTAGAATTTTATGCAGTCTTTAAAAAGAAAGAAAACATCCTTAATTCATACCAAACATTCAAGATTTATGCTAATTTTCTGCTTTAATTACTATTGTGTTCAAATGAGCTTATTTAAAAAAAAAAAGAAAGACCCTCTGAGGTAGCTTTATAACAAGAAATGGTTTTGAAATAGGAACTTTTAGTCAACTTAATGTTATGCATGAAATGATTTTTTTATATAGACTTAATTGTATTGTGACACAGAAGTTCTTCAATAAGCCACAGCTTAAAATTGCAGAAGCCGTCCCTCAGGGACACATCACTAGCAGATGCAGATTGCCAAGGTCAATTAAACTGATGTAGCTGTGCTGTCATATACGTAAAGGAGAAATCCACAAGCCTATGACAAGTATATTTCTCAGTGTTTATAAAAAGATGTCAAGAACCTTATATTTTAGTACATAAATATAAATTAATTCTGCATAAGCAATAAAAGATACAACAGAAATCATAATGGAAAAAAGATTATTAGTATTCTTTGGAGAGGTTAATATATTATAAAACAATGGGGGAATAAAAGTTTTCAACATGTATAATGAAATAATATCTGGGAAACATAGAAGAATTAATTCATCTATATGCTTGTTGTTTAATTTTATGTAACCAAAGCACAATGAAACAAAAGGGAAGCTGGGATGGCAATCTCAGTAATTCAAAGCTAAAAGCAAACTCTCAACAAGATCAAATAAATTCTAATTATAGAGCCAGGGTATCAGAGTTCTGTTTAAACGGAACAATGTGAGGTAAGGAAAAGACAAAACCAGAGAGTGCCTTGAACTAAGGATATTAAACCTGGTGGCATGAGCTTTGTGCTTTTATTTTTGGTTATAAGTATTTTACTCAACATGCTATCCTCCAAAAAAATGGATATACAATGAAGAATCATATTTTTCCTTTTATAAACTTGTGAAAAGTAATCTTGAATCAGAGCTATTCCTCTGAGACTTCAATTATTTTCTATTTTCTTTAATGTATTTCTCTTTTGTCCTCTCCTTCCCTAATTTTAAAATTTGGCTTTTGACATCATAGTCTTTGCTTACTTTCATTCTTACAACTTCGTTTACCCAGTTGGTTAATTTACACAGCCTATTTTTCCCACCACTCATTTATACCTTGGGTTCTGCCTCTTTTAATGAAAATATGGCCCCCACAGTCACGAATCTGTGGTTTCAGCCTTCAGCGCTTTCTTAATATTCAACAACTTAATCACATTGGCTTTGATATCCTTCCTTCTCAGATACAAAATGATACTCTGTCTGCCCTG